AAATTTTATCTAGGTCTGTCGGTTCCATCTTTATACCCCACTCTTTTTTATCTTGCCTATATCTTACCTGTAGTTGGAGGTATGCCCACCATTCTAATTCTATCCCTACATCTTGGAGATTTTTCCTCGATTTTAATTCTCCTCTCTCATCTAATATGTTTTTATAAGTTATTACTTTCCCTAACTGAATAAACCTTGGGTGTATATACCTTTCTAATGTTGAGATCCAATTGGGGACTTGCCTATAATTCTGTCGTCGAATTTTAATCCATACATCTATTAGCGCCCGTCTGATGTGATGCCTCCGGAATTCATTCTTTATTCTACTATATTTTTATACCAGAACCAGTATTACAGAATTATTTTGTTATTACCCCAGTGTCTTACATTACATTTTACTCTTTTTTTGGTCCTGTTTGATGGATTTGTAAAGAATTTGTACAGAACTTAGAAAGGAGCTAATTTTTATTTAATTTAGGCACATTATTTTCCCCTTGGTTTTTATTTCTCTATTAACCCAGTATTGAGGACTGTATTTTAATAACCTGTTTAAATCAGAAGAAAAAGGCAATTTCATCACTTTCCATGCCTGTGTAAAGGATGTAGGAAATCACTTTCTGCATCTACATAGTCAGGAATATTATTAATATTAATAATAATAATAATCAGGATAAAATGCAGATGTGGGAATACAGGGAATCCTGGAATTCTCCTCTTGTTTCCCTTGTACTTTTCCTATGAACCCTGAAGTTTATTCAGATGATTCTTACTGATGTTAAAAATGTAAGAAGAGGGAGTATTCTAAAAGATGAATATCTTCCTCTCCTGCATAAACAGAAAAAATAATATTTTCTTTTCTTGACTAAAAATTACTTTTCATTTTGTTAGATGTCTAACTGATGAAAGGCAGAGATAGGTAATAGAACTGCCTCTTTCCCCAGAAGGTATCCCATAAGTCAGATGGTGAGAGAGAGGGGCTACTGGCAGAGCCTATCCCTTACTGTCTCTGAATCATGAGTGAACATTGAGGGAGGACATCATTTAAGGTCCTGTGGGCCAAATGGGTCAGCTTGATGACCCATGGTTTCCCCCAAATCTTACTTGTTAAAGTTGTGATATTCTAATGCAGTTGTCTAAAAAGTAACAGAAGGCTTGACTATTTTTTCTTTCCTGAAACAGCCTTAGAATATTATCCTTACTTGAGTATATTTTTCATTTACACTGTAAATGAAAATGTAATTGAGCATTGATTTTAACTGATACAGAACCCAAGAAAGCCGACTCGCCATATGGAAATACCTGCTTGGAATATTTAGTGTTCTAAAAACAAAACCTGGTCAGGTGCATATATGGCAAAAGCTCTGAAAAAGGAGCAAACATTTTATATCTTTCTTACATGAAAGTAGATGTTTCCCTTAGTTTTAAAATTTAGAACATTTAATACCAAATATAAAAAATAAAGACAGAGGAAGAAAAAAAACACTGACCTGACAATATTTTGGGGAATGAGTTCTCCAAATGTCCAAAAGATTTTACTGCTGAAGGTAAAGCTTCCAGCTGTGTCTGTATATTCACTGTAGCTGTCTTGACAATATCTGCAGCAGAGCCCTGGATAACAGTGTTTACAGCTTGCCTCTCTGCCTAAAGTTTATGAAAATCACAGTGCAGAAGTGCAAACAAATTAATTGCTATAAATAGGCAATAGAATCTATATTCAACTGAGAATGCTAATTTTATTCTGGGAACATTCTCTCTCTTTCTCTCTGTTTGTGTCTCTTTTTTTATAACAACAGCCTGAAATAATAATAGTACTGCAGCATTTCTGTGTTCTGTAGTACAGATGAAAACAGAAAAATCTAAAGAACCATACCTACAGTATTAGGTAAGTTACAAGTATAATAATCAAGCAAGCAAACAAACAAACAAGGATGGAATCTTAAACTAAAAAAGAACAATGAAGAAATAGTTTTGCAGAAATAGTTTGAAATAGTTGTTCGGCAGTTAAAAGAAGTAAACAGTTCTGTAGTAAAGCAACACAACTAAACTGTATGTAGTACTTTTACTAGAGAGACCTGCAGCATTGCATGTAAGCATGCAATTTAATATGAGTTTTTAAAAAATATTCTGATAAGCTCACATTAAAGACAATTCAAATCATACAAATCAATACATACAGTTGGCATTAAAATCCATACATGCAAATCTCTTCCTGCCCCTCAGACTGAAATCTTACAGTTTTAATCCTGGCTATTTAAAAATGATATACTCTGTACTTCAAATTTTTCATACAGCATGGCAGGGCCATTTTAATAATTTAAAACTCAAAGTTGGGAAGATGGTTTTTTTAGGTGTGCATCGAAAACAAAGAATGCAGATAATTTGTTGTTAAACTGAGCAACAAATAAATACAATATATTAGAATCAGAAGCCTGCACTGATTTTGAATAAAAAACAAATGGCTCACAATTGTTAATTGGAAGACCCTCCTTCGGCATATAAGAATTAGGCAACTGATATATCTAGGATTGCGATTCTCTCCAAGAAAATGTAAAGCCACCAGGTTTTTCATTTTGGTGTTTACATGCTTCATTTTGGAGGAAATGTGCTGAAATAAATCACAAGACTGAGCACTAGAAACAAGGGGAGTTACTTCTACATGTCTACAGAAGAATGAGAGCTGAGAATTACTATTGATACCCCTGGACTTCACTGAAATCAATGTGAGTTGCAAGGAAGCTACAAAATAGATCAAGATGTGGATCCTGAGTGGGTAGAAATGGTTTATGTTGCTGCAATTTGATCACGGCAATGACAGGTCAACAGGGAGAAGAAATTAGAAATACAACGAACAATGTTTGAAAGTTAATGGTAAGATCACACATAAGTATCCAGATAACAAGAATAGTACCACAAAGAAGGTGGAATACAGCATGGCTGTATGCGTTTTATTTCCTTAAAGAGATGAAACGGTTTAACAAAATGTTTCTCTCACTATACCTGAGCCTTCTTGTAAGGATTTGTTTCCTTAATTGCTGGAAGGTATCTACGCCTTCCCATGATTGTCTGCACAAACCCATCCTGGGTGCACGTCTTTGCTGTCTCTTTCAGGAATTTCTGAATACCTACAAAAACATGAAATAATATTATCTCATTTCTGGTGTCAGCTATCAGTTCATCACATATACATCCCTGGTTGAGTCCACACATACACTGCTAATTTTTACTAACAATATCAACTTCCTTATCTTAGCAACTGTTATTCAACACTCAGACTTAGTAGATCTAAGGCATGTCTTACATTACAGTGCTTCATGCTTAGGTCTTACGTTTCCTTATTATTATTACTAGGAAAAGGGCACTATCACACTCTTACTGTTTCCATGCGCTGATCTTTCAAAAAACACTGTAGCCACTGTCTCCAGAACATGGGAAACAATGCCCTGGCAAGAGGCAAGGGGTGTTTCCAATGGAGGAATGAACTGACCAGAAGCTTTCCAGGGCTGTTACATTTCAACAGAAAAGATTAAATGTGCTGCAGTTTCATATCTATCTATCTATCTATCTATCTATCTATCTATCTATCTATCTATCTATCTATCTATCTATCTATCTATCTATCTATCTATCTATCTATCTATCTACCTACCTACCTACCTACCTACCTACCTACCTACCTACCTACCTATCTATCTATACACATACATGCATACATACACAGTATACTGTGGCATAGCTATTAATAAAGAAACCCATGTCCCAGACTGTGACATAGTGAGAACAAATGGTTGCAGGGCTGATTCCAAACTACCATGAAAATCTGAACCTGTTGATATATCTCAAATTTCCATTGTTTACTGAATAGCAGCAGCAATAACTTGTTTTCCCTGGAAATGAAGAAAGTTAACCAAAATGGATCTCCCTTCAGAACTCGTCCATAAAAAGTGTCCTATCGTTAGTTCATTCACACATGCATAAATGAATTTCAGGCTGAGGGATTCCCCCCCCCCCCAGAAATGCATCAAACTCTTATGCTTGAACTACCTAGGAAATCTGTGAATCAAACAGTTTGGAGTTTTACAATGCAGTTTTATTTATTAACACTTTCAGATTCTCATTCTCTCTTTCTCTAATATGCACATACACAAACAGATATCAGGAAAGACAGCTTCATCAGTATATATAATCTACCCTGTTGCATCACTTACCAATAGAAATTCCAATCCCAATTAAGTGAGGACTATCATTGAACCAGGCTTGCACTTAGTAAATCAGTGAACAAGGATACCAAGAACAATAGATCCCGGCAATCTTTACCTGGATATCTGGATTTGAAGGACTCAATGAAGCACAAAGCATCAGTTTCTTGAACACCCATCTGCTCCCCTAAGGATTTAGCTCCAATTCCATAGATTATTCCATAGCAAATCTAGAAAAAAGATAACATTCTAATTTACTAGTGAATAATCAAAAAGATTCAAGAATAAGACATTTTATTGGCACAAAACTGCTACTTCACTTGAAATATTAGATTATACTTGCTGAACAATAAGTTTGTTCAGCTTTGTAATTTTGAGGGCACCATACCGTGAATTGTTATTTAACCCTGCTTTACTTAAAAATATTTTAAAAGTCTTTGAAAAGGGAAGACAAGTTCCTACCACTGAGTTCCTTCATAATGTTTACTTCTAACTGTATCAAAAGATTGAAGGGAAGCAAAATGGCTGATGGAGAATAATTTTCCTGCCACAAATTGAGGTTATGATCTAGGGTGATGGCTGGCTCACTAAACTGTGAGTTCACAATTGAATAGAATAGAGCTGGAAGGAACCTTGGAGGTCTTCTAGTCCAGCTCCCTGCTCAAGCAGGAGAACCTATACCACCCCAGACAGGTGATTGTCTAGTCTCTTCTTAAAATTTTTCAGTGATGGAGCCCTCACGATTTCTGGGGGTAAGCTGTTCCACTGGTTGATTGTCCTCATTGTCAGGAAGTTTCTCCTTAATCCCAGGTTGCTTCTCTCTTTGACCAGTTTCCAACCATTGTTTCTCATCCTTCCCTCTGGTGCGCTGGTGAACAACCTGACCCCCTCTGCCTTGTGGCAGTCTGGAACACTGCTATCATGTCTCCCCTATTTCTTCTTTTCTTTAGACTAACCAAACCCGAGTCCCGCAGCCATTCTTCATATGTTTTAGCCTCCTCATCTTAGTTGCTTTTTTCTGAATTTTTTTCCAAACTCTCAACATCTTTTTTGTGATATGATGACCAAAATTGGCTGCAGTATTCCAGGTATGGTCTTACTAGGATTTTATAAAGCAGTACTAAAATTAAAATTAAAAAGTTTAGTTTCATATGAAAGAAAAAAAAGAATACCGATTCAGAAAAGTAGAAGAAGGGTGATTATTTATTTATTTGCTTATTTATTAAACCAATTTATATAGCCACTCATCTCACAAACAAAAGATTTTGGGCAGCATACAACATTATGTTGACATTTTAAGAGAATAGAAGCAGAAACACAACTGCCAAACACAGAAGAGAGGAAAACTACTTATTAAAGCTGCAGAAGTCTACAGTGTTTTCTATAAATCCTCCCAGTACAATAATTAGAAGAGAAGCAGAAAAATGCCTACATTGCCTCCTTGGGGACTTACATATGCAGAAGCTCTCCTTTTGATGTGGTGGACTGTTAGGGTTCATTTATTTAATTTATATCCTACTCTTATGCCAAGAAATATATGAGATAGAACTGAGACAACTTGTCAAACATTCTTGGCATTTACAACCTCAATCCAAACATCATATTTTGGAATCTAATTAATTGTAAGACTCAAATATTATTTACATTTTTCCCTCTTCGTTTCTTCTGCCTTCTGTCAACCTCATCTAAAGATTTTGAAACTTCTAAATTTTACACCCTTGCTACATATGATAAATACCTAACAAACCTAACAGTGTTAACTATGGTCCAGTCACCCCAATTGCTTGACACAAAGATGCAGGACCCTGGGAAGCTCCAGCAGCACAGCACAAAGCCGCAGGAAGTTCCAGCTACTCCAGTAGCACAGTGCAAAGCCGCAGCAGTGCCTCAGGAAACTCGAGCAGCATGGTGCAAAGCCGCAGCACCCCAGGAATCCTTAGCTGCCCCAACCCAGTCCTAGCCACTCTACCTCCTCAGTTGACTTTTATTGTCTTCTTTTCCTGCTGCTGCTGAGCCGCACCCAGTTTGGCCCTATGCAAGGCAGCTGCTGGCTGCTCCAGGCCTTCTTCAGGCCATATGCATTGTTCTCCAAATCCTGTGAACCTTCTTGCCAAGCTTCAGAAGGCCTCAGAAGTCTTCCAAAGCATTGTGAGAAGGCCATGTACAATTTGGAAAAAGCCAGGCGTGGCCTTCTCTGAGGTTTTGGAAGACCTCTTTTTTTAGCCGCAGTGCTGCCACTTCTGCTGTATGGGGTGCCCAGAAATCCCAAACCTTTCCACCTTGGCTGCTTGGCCTGGTGCAGGGATGTGTGAGTAGCATGTGCATGCACGCACAGCTCCATTGGTGTGAGCGATGGACGCAGGCACCCTCCACTTTCACGAATGGAGCTTTGCATGTGAGCGGAGGGCGCTTGTGCTCATGAGCAAAGCTGCACTTACGCTCGGGGCGGGCACGTGCGTTCACGAAACTCCACTTGTGCGAGCAGAGAGAGCTTGAGTAGAGGGTTCTTGTGCTCACACATGAAGCTTCATTCACATGAATGGAGTTTTGCACGTAAGCGCCCTCTGCATTCGTGAGTGGAGCTTCATGAGCGAGCACAAGCACCCTCCACTCAAGCGCCCTCTGCTTGCGCAAGTGGAGCTTCACGCACTCTTGCCCACCACCATGGGGCCTGATTTGAAACAGGCCACGGCCAGGTAGCCAAAAGGCCAGAGATTGGGTTAGGAGTTGATAGGAGTTGAAATGCTCCTGTGGTTATAAGTGCAGGTGAGCTGCCAAACACCCAAATTTTGATCGTATGACAGTGGGGGCACTGCAATCTCAGTCGTAAGTCCCTTATTCAGGGACACCATAACTTTGAATTGTCGCTGAATGAATGATAGTCAAGGATTATCTGCATTAGAAATTGGGCAGTTCTTAATGGGATAGGTTTCCTAGATTTTCTAAACATGATCTTGAAAAATATTACAGATCCACCCAGTAATAAAATGTAACAGTGGTGTTCTGGTATATGAAATATGCTCCCAGCTTAGTGGCCAAAGTAAAATGTCTACTTCACAGTTCTATTTTGCAGTAAATCTGTTGTTTAATTCCATTAAATATTTAATGGAATACTATGATGCTTAATTTTCAACTATGCTACTCTTAGTATTCAACTTATTAGAAATTTCATATACACCAAACATGAAATGACATTTATATTATATATCTGATTAAATATTAGATATTTAATCACAGGCATAGAGAAAGGTAAAAAAATTGTTCAACTAAATTGATATCTCAGGAAAGATATACATTTTTAAAACTACCTGCTTAGCTTGTTGCCTTAAATCATTCCCAACCTCTTCAGGGTTAATGTTCTTCCACTCAGCTGCAATGCTTCTAAAGACATCAACGTTGTTACCAAAGGCCCGGAGTAGCCGATCATCAGAACAAAAATGTGCAAGGATTCTTAACTCAAGCTGAGAGTAATCAGCAGCCAAGATCAAGCCACCTATAGTCAATCATGCAAAACAAATTCTAAATTAACTGATTTCCATGAAATCACAAATAAGAGCTTCTTTCTCTCCCTTACTAATCTTTCAAGTGAAAGATACATGGATAGGTGTAAGTTCCTATTTCAGTTTCAACAAGTTTATCCCACGATGTAATAATCCAGTAAAATACAATTCAGAAAAGGTTAAGTATCATATCTTTACATTTTTTGCCCAGAATGAAGTCTCTGTGCACACACACAAAAAGCTAAATTGTAACTCTTCCCCAACAGTGTTCTATGTAGAGGGTAGTAAAGAAGAAAGATTTGAAATCTGGCTTTTTCCAAAGTATGACAGTTGTTTATGTATAGGTATCCTAAGTAAGGAAAATACCAAGTACATACAACTCTTAAAATGTGCTGATTTGGAACTAGAAAGCCATACATGTTACTCGTTCACCTATCTACAATTGAAAGAAAGATTTACTTTGGATGACAAAAACCGTCATTTTGAAGCTGCTAAAAATAAACTTGAAATGATAATCTGTACTAATGATGAACACCTTATAGCCAAAATGAATATGTTAAACATAGTCTGATTCAGTGGGCAAGAAATTCTGGTTATAATACAAAACTAGAGCAATAGGAAAATATGTGGCTTAAAGCGAGGGGTCCCCAGCCCTTGGGCCATGGCCTGCTTGGAACCAAACCACGCAAAAAGTGGGGAAGACTGCAGGTGCAGATCCACTTCCATGAGCAGCAGGCACACATAAGCAGGCAAAGCTCCATTTGTGCCCACCGCTCATACAGAACCATTCCCTCTTTCCCCCCCCCCCCGCCAATCTGTCAAGTTGGAAAGGTTGGGGACTGCTGGGTTAAAGAACTATAATTCATATTGAATTATAATCTTAAAGAGAATTTCTATAAAATGATGTACTGGTGGTATTTAATACCAAATAAACCAGCAAAAATGTATAAGGGTGTTTCAAATACTTGTTGCAATGTAAGTGTAAGGAGAGTACTTTTTATCATATACATGTGACAAGGCAAAGAAATATTGGGTACAAATCCGTGGTTTAATTCAGAAATTTTTTAAAATGGACTTACAATGGAAACTGGATTTTTTTTTTCTTTTCAGACTAATTAGATAAAGTTATTGGGAAAAAATAGAACATTGTTGCTACACATATTGATAGCTACAAGAATTTTATACATCCAGAAATGGAAAGAAGTTTCAACTGCCACAATGGAAAAATGGATTGAAAAGATGATGGAATTGGTAGAGATGGAGACGTTGACTGCACTAATTAGGGACAAGAATGAAAACAGTTTTGTGGTAACTTGGAAACTACTTTTGGACTTTCTGTGTGAAATAGACACAAATAAAATTTTGACTTTGTATTTTGACAATTAAGTGGGTAATTGCTACAGAAATGGCTAATAATTACAACAGTATGTGGTATAACTAAAAAAGCTGATATTATAACTTTATTATGTTTCTTATTGCATCGAAAAAGTTAGAAGTCACTGCTTTTTGTTTTATGTTTTATTTGTCCTCCCCTTATTCTACCCCGTCTTTCTCCTTTCCTTTCCCTTTTTCCCATTGTCTTTATTTTTATTTTATACTAAGAATTTTTTTAGTAAATATATATTTCAAAAAAGGCTCCTACATGTGTTATCTTATTAATCCAAAAATTTATACTGTGAAACATCAACACGTGGCAGAGGCACTAATATATTAAATATAAGTAATAATAAAATGTCATTAATACTAACATTTTCATTGTATTACTGATAAATTTTTATACCGTTCTATTATTAAGAGTACAAAAATTTATTGGGTGAACTAATCATTAGAAAATGGATAAATACCAACACCATTTGCAGGTAAGAGATAATGAATGGTGAAGTTTCTAAAAAACCTATCACCGTGTTTCTGAAAAAAAAAATGGCTGTCCACATGATTCAGAGTTACAATAAGACCATAGTGACTTAAGGACTGCAGCCCATGTTTTGATTATATTATTATTATTAGATTTTTATCTTGCTTTTTGTATATTTATAATTTAAGGTAGCAAACATATCTAATGACTTGCCCAAACTCACTTAGCTGGTTTTCTTGTTTAAGGCAGGCCTAGAACATTTTTTTTTAAAATAAATTTTTATTGATTTTTCATTGAAAAGCAAAAACATAAATCTTTTATCACAATATCAACAAAAAAAAAAAATCAACACCAATCAATACATTCACGGACGTGTCCGGTGTCCCCCTTCCGCACCACCCTCTCACTTGCCTACACCTTCCTCCTCCCTATCCTACCACCACTCCTCCTTCCTCCCTCTTTCCTACCTCCCTTTCTCCCTCAACCATCCCGTCAGTGCAGTTGGGGTACCACCGGGCACCTCCTTAAAAAATCATACATATATATACATATAAATCTATAATACCAACCTACCCCTTTCCCCCCNGTATCAAAATGTCTCTATTAGTTAAATTAATCCAATCACTAATCCAAGTTAATACCACTGCTTCATAATATAATTTTAAATTAGGGGCTTTAAGTCCCCCTCTTTCCCGTGCATCTTGCAAAATTTTAAATTTTACCCTAGGTTTTTTCCCCTGCCATATGAACCTATTGATACCTCTTTGCCATTCTTCCAAATTTGAGTCCTTTTTTAAAATAGGTATCATCTGAAACAAAAAAAGAAACTTGGGGAGAACATTCATTTTTATTGCTGCAATTCTTCCCAATAATGATAGTTGTAATTTCTTCCATTCCATCAAATCCTTTTGAACTTTTTTCCATAACTTATCATAATTATTCATATACAATTTAGCATTAGAAGCAGTGATACCAACACCCAAATATTTCACTTTTTTAACTATTTCAAAACCAGTTACATTACTTAAAATTTCTATATCTTTCATAAACATATTTTTAACTAATATTTTAGTCTTATTGTTATTTACTTTAAATCCAGACACATTCCCATAACATGTCAATGTCTGTATCAAAGTTCTTGCCGAGTCGGCTGGGTCTGACAGAGTGAAAACCAAGTCATCAGCAAATGCTCTAAGTTTATAAGCGTTGTTGCCCAAAGTTATGCCTTTTATAGATGAAGACTCCCGAATCTTGATTAATAAAATCTCCAAAGTCAAAATAAATAATAACGGGGATAATGGGCAGCCTTGCCTTGTTCCTTTCTCAATTTTAATTGAGTCTGTCAAATCCCCGTTAACAATCACTTGGGCAAACTGTAGTCGATAAATGGCCCTTAATGCTGAAGAAAATCTATCCCCAAAATTCATTCTGTCCACCAACCGTAGCAAAAATTGCCAGTCCAACCCGTCAAAAGCCTTTTCAGCATCCAAAAAGATAAGGGCCGCCGGGACTTGATTGTTTTTATCCAAGTATTCCAACACATTCACAATTTGTCTAACATTATTCTTCATATATCGTCCATTTATAAATCCAGACTGGTCCATATGAATAATCTGTTTAATTACTTGCATTAGTCTATTGGCTAATATTTTTGCAAAGATCTTATAATCCGTATTCAGTAATGATATTGGTCTATAATTTTTAGGTTGGGTCATGTCTTGGTCCTCCTTGGGTATGAGTGAGATAAATGCACATCTCCAAGATGGTGGTATTTGTCCTCCCATTAAAACGTCATTAAATAGACATCTCAAAGGTTCCAACATTTCTTCCAGTAATTTTTTATAATAAATTGCAGTAAACCCATCTGTACCAGGGGCCTTACCGACCTTCAGTTGTTTAGATGCCTCTGCAATCTCTTCCACCGTAATCA